TAAAATACAGGTTTTCGATTACTTGAAAACTAAATACCCCCCTATAATAATAGCTACTGACGATTTAATTTGAATACTTGCAGAAAATCTCGTCATTTTATCTATACATTTTTATTTTAATGATACCTACTTATTCCAAAACTATATTAGATTGCCCACGAAGATCGTTTAACGATTTTAATATCTTCCAATTGCGCCAATATTGGGTTTTACTTTATGTACTCGTACAATAAAATTCTCAAGGTTTAGCCAATTTTTTTTCGTATTAGAGTTTAACAAACATGACGGAATCATGATATTTGGAGAGCATGATAACCCAGTATAGGGTCTACTTATGTGGCTGTCCTTTTTTTTTTTTACTTTACAGTAAGCAAACATAATAATCTGACTATAAGTATAAATATATTATGATTGATGCATAGAAGCCATTTTCATTTCCATAAAAAAGGCATGTGGTCATAAGAATATGACCCGCTTATTTCTTAAGACCTTAGATAAATTACTTCAGAGGTCAAAGTTAGAATTTTTGATGGATAAGGAAAGTCGTTGATAATATTGTAGGAATGACTAAGTTTTACAACTTTCTTCCCTTWTAAAATACACAAATTTAGGACGGCGCTATGTGTATGCAATTTAAGGTCTTTAAATGCTTATAACAATATTATAACAGTGATAGCTGTTTCAGCTATTTCTTCTGTGCGAAATTTTAATCAAGAAATTCACCACATTATTAACTTCAGACTTAATTCTAACATTATATTATTCACTAATTTACAATTATTATACTACCTAGTACCTAATAATTATGGCAGAGGACTTGAAGCATTTGCATATTTGTTTTACACTGTCACAAAAATAGCAGAGTACGATACAAATACATCCATATCTTCACAAAGCTAGTTTTGAAATTTTATTGTGCATATAAATGCATAATTTGCATTTTTTTTTTTTTGTTGGTTTTTAATAAGGCATATTTTACAGTTTTATATGCTATTTTATACTTTTGGGATATATTCATATATTTAACTTAAGAGGACGCTACGCCCGCATGTGTTGTCTCCGTCTTACAAGTACGTAACATTGCAAAAACTGTTTAGCGCGGGAAAGAACCGAGAAGGCTACAGTCATAACTAAGAAACGAAATTCTCACCACAGATAAAAGGGAATTTTGACTGTGCAACGTTGTTTTTATTTTTTTGATATTAGAACTGAAAAAAAAGTTATTCGATTTTGAAAAACGC